GATGGCCAAGAAGTTGGCCACAGAAATACGCTACCAGCTGACCCAGGAGGAGCAGCTGTTCAACTTCAGGAAGACCGACACTCCCCCGATCCTTCTCATTCTCGACCGTCGCGACGACCCCATCACGCCGCTGCTTACACAATGGACCTACCAGGCCATGGTCCATGAGCTTATCGGGATCAACAACGGAAGGGTGGACTTGAGTGATGTTCCCGACATCCGGCCAGAGCTGAAGGAGATCGTGTTATCCCAGGATCAGGATCCGTTCTTTAAGAAGAATATGTATCAAAACTTTGGGGATCTGGGTGGAAATATCAAGGAATACGTCGAACAGTACCAAGTGAAGACAAAGAACAACATGAACATCGAGTCAATTGCGGATATGAAACGTTTTGTTGAAGACTACCCCGAGTTCCGCAAGCTGTCGGGGAACGTCAGCAAGCATGTCACTCTCGTGAGTGAACTTAGCCGGAGGGTAGGCGAGGATAACCTTCTGGACGTGAGCGAGTTAGAGCAAAGTCTGGCATGTAATGATAACCATGCCAGCGATCTCCGAGTAAGCTATATTCCCAGCCTATCGCTCTGAGAGTAGCTCGTAACTGACCGCCGTTAGGCTCTACAAAGGATAATCCCGCTCCCGAACGTCCCTGCTGAAAACAAGATCCGTCTAGTAGCCCTATACGCTATTCGCTACGAGAAACAACCATCAAACTCTCTTCCTCTCTTACTCGACCTGCTCGCCACTGCCGGCAACGTTCCTCGTCATCGAATCAATATTATCCCAAAGCTCTTGGCATATCACCATTCGCTGCAGGCACCTCCTGTTGCCGGTGGCTTCTCCGATCTTTTTGAGTCGACATCGTTCTTCTCGGGTGCCCGAGATCGCTTCAAGGGCCTTAAAGGCGTCGAGAACGTCTACACCCAGCATTCGCCCCGACTAGAAGCGACATTGCAGAACCTGATCAGGGGGAAATTGAAAGAATTGCAGTACCCATTCCTCGAGGGCGGCGGTCACACGAAGGATAAGCCCCAGGACATTATCGTCTTCATGGTGGGCGGCGCTACGTACGAGGAAGCCAAAACGGTTGCTCAGGTCAACGCCAGCTCACCCGGAGTCCGTGTGGTTCTAGGAGCCACTACAATCCATAATAGCACGACATTCCTGGAGGAAGTGGATGATGCTGTAGGCAACTGGCCTGAGCCTTCTCCAACCACACCAGCGGGTCGATTACGGAGGGAAATCGGACGATAACAATTCCAATTGGGATTGAAATTAGGCGTTGTGGTTAATGTGAATAGGAAAACCGTCTTGTATCGGTAGATATTTATATGAATCAACTAGGTCTGTAATACTGCTGTAGTCGTTTTCTTTGACACTTTTCCTCACCTGCAGAGCATGCGGAACTGGCTGAGAATTGGCCTCCCGCTGATTGGAACCCTCCCCGGACTGTCCCCCACTGCCGTGCGGAGAAAAAGGGCCTTCTTACCGCTGTTGTCCAGCGATTCTCAACCCCCCTCCCCTCGAGGTTCAGGGCAGATTCGCGACAATGGACACTTTCAGCAGTTTCAGCAGTCCTCCAAAAGCCGCCAATGCTCTTTCGCCGTCCTCTGCTGCACGAGACTCGCGCGTGCAGCTCCCTTCGACAACCGACCCCCCGGGCCCGCAGAACCCTCCCAAACAGCTGGTATGGCTGGTAAGTGCATGCGTTCCATTGCATGACCCAACAAGGTCGTTCCACTTCCTAACCGGGTCAATTTATCTAGATATTCGGCGCTACCGGACATATGGGCCGCTCCCTTGTCAAGGCCGCTCTCATCCACAACGATCTCGTCGCCGCCGTCGGCCGCACATTCGAGAATAGCTACGAATCCATGCAGAAGATGCAAGCCGAGAACGAGAATTGTCTGGGACTCCTTTGCGACGTCCGCGCTCGAGAGACTGTGAAGGAGGTCATCGACAAGACGATCGCTCACTTTGGCCGCATTGACATAATCGCCAATTGCTCGGGCTACGGCGTCATCGGGGCTTGCGAGGACCAGGACGATTTCGATGTTCGGAACCAATTCGAGACAAATTTCATGGGAACACTGAACATCATCCAGCTCTCTCTCCCGTACTTCCGCGAGAGAAGGGCCGGACGATATCTGATCTTTAGCTCCACGTCGGGAGCCCTGGGAGTGCCGGGCTTAGGACCTTACTGCGCCTCCAAGTACGCGGTGGAAGGGTTGATGGAAAGCATGCTCTACGAGGTTGACAGTTTCAACATCAAAGCCACACTGGTCGAACCGGGTCATATCCGTCGCGACGACGTCACCAACCCGCTGTCTCCGTCTGCTGGGACCGGGGGAGATGAGAATCTGGCGGCTCCGCTGCCTGCCTACGGCCATTTCTTCATCAAGCCTACGAGCGAGCCGTATCGAACGCCCACATCACCTGCCGCGCATGCCAAACGCATGCTGCAGTGGCTGGGCGACAAACAGCCTGTCAGCGCAGTCAAGGCTGCGGAGCTGGTCTGGCAGTTGGGGCATTGCTCATATCCGCCGCTGAGATTGCTTCTGGGGTCTTATGCCGTGGAGAGTATTCGTGACAGGCTGAAGTGCATCATCGAGGAAATTGAAGACTGGAAGCATTTGAGTTTTCCACTTCAAGATCAGCAGCCCGCCGATAACGCTACGAAAGACAAGACTACTACGAGAGAGAAGAGCGAGGATGAAGAAGCAGCGGCAACAGCAGAACCACCTGCACGTTAAGATGACGCTTTCAATGTGTCGATCTATCTGTACAGATTCTCTGGTGCACCTCAGTGACGATTAACGCCCATAAAAATTCAGGTAAAATGGCGCCAGCCATCGACGACGCCTGAAGACTTTTGCTACTGGCACCAATGCCGTTCCATGCGGCCCGAAGTTGGCATCCACGCCAATTTCATTTCTGCTTCTTGACGGGCTTGTATCAAACGCCTTGCAAGAGAAAATATTGGGCGCAAAGTCTTCGGCAAAGTCGAATCCTTCACATGTTGCACCAAGACGCTACGCAGCTGCAATGCTGAAAATACTGGCGATTTCACCAATGCTCTTCGGTTTCATTCAGTTGAGGAGACGTCTTGCTAGCTGCGCATTTTGATTGGAACCGAAGGACGACATTTTGGAATTTCTACACTCTTGGAACAGAGACCAGTCTGGCCGCGATTCACTCCCAGGACTGGCATGGGATACTTGATCTGCTCGAGGATCTTTCCCATCCTTTGATCTTACCGGAAAGGCCATATACAAGGGATTCGGGGAGACGTTCATCCCAGAAACTGTTCTTCCCTTTTCTGAAGGAAATCTGCAGCTTACGTGCTGTGGATCGCGACCGTGTTAGCGAAGAAAAGAAATGAACGTGCGTCGAACGATTAGCTATCCGCCTTTGACGCTGTCATTAGCCAGCTCGTCCGTACTGGGATTCGATCCTGATGGACGTTACCTGACACCCTATACGAGATGCGCTGTCGAACACGATGTTGAATTTTCCGGATGCTGGGCCAATGTCACTGTGCATGACTACAAAATACTGTTGCTAATAGTTCATCGCTCTTAGGTACATAACTACATTCCAGAACAAGAGAAAGCGGCACCCACTCGGAGACTCTATACACAGGACTGTGTGGAAGGATGGGAAAAAAAATTCATACCTTCCATTACCCACCTCTGACTACATCTTCGACCATGGTGGATGTAGTTGGACTGTATCAATACATGTAAAATGTGAAAATTATGACTATCAATATTTTATGATATTGTATGCGTGCTGTAGTCATAAACATAAAAACAAACATGCATTATATAGTTCTCTACAACAAAGATCAGATATATAGATTACTGGACTCCATGGAGTAAATTGTTTGTCAAACATCATGACGTCGCAACAGCTTGACTGCATGCAAGGAAGATCAGCGCTAACGGTATCAGGACATTCATGGCACGTGACAACGGATATCCAGGGCAGTCAGATAGCAAATCAGACTTAAGTTACCTACAGCATCGTTGTATAACTACTTAGTGCTAGCAGAGCCACAGGTGTTTCTTGTTGAATCTGCCGATAAATCAAATCGTCACAAGATCTCTTGTCATTTCACATCTGGCCACAACTCAGTGAAAGTGATGGCCTGTTAGACCATGCTCGCGTTGGCGACGTGTCTTACCGCCTAAAGAGATGGTTACTGTAAACAAAAGCTCCTTTGTCTGGAGAATGCTTTTGGTGGTTACTCTCCTTGTGAGGCCTTTTTCATAGGTTCATCTCACATCTTCCTCTCCTAAGGTGGACACGTCTCATTCTTCAATGAATGTGTTGGCCTCTGTCTCCCGCTCACGACTTGTTTGGCAGCTGCCTTCCATCAGGACTTGTCCATTGATACTACCAAAATTGCAGACCAGATCCTCTCAAGAGGTAGAAAGGAGATTATTGAAAATGGATCCAGAGGAATATCAAGATCCTGCCCTACAGGCAGCGATTAACGCGTCTTTAAGAGACCTTGCCACAAGTCATCAAAATCAGCCTTCCTCTGCAGGAACGCAGAGAGACGTTGTGGATCTCACTGGCGATTCGGATGACGATGAGCCACGTCCAAAGGCAGCCAAGTCAGTAGAGCTTATTGAGGAGACTAATGATGAGCAAGACGAAGACCTGAATAGAGCCATCGCGTTGTCGATGCAGGATATGAATACCCCTTCCCCACAGCCACAACAGTCAGAGAAGCTGGACGCTGGTCAAAATGGCACCGTTCATGTTTCTCAGGAAGAGAGCTCCGCTTCAAATTCTGCCCCCAACATATTTGGGCTACTCGGTATAGACCGGAAAAAACAAGAACAGGAACGTCTGGCGCGTGTTGCAAAACGAAAGGCAGAGCAGAGCATTCCTCCGCCGCCAGCAAGCAGGGAGAGCAAAATAGCAAGACCTAACACATCTCTCCCCAGCGATAGAAATTTGGGTCAGCCACTCTCTACAGCTACATTGGGTCCGTCAAGCACTCAATCAAGTTCACCTCTTGCCAGACAAGCACCGGCTGAAAAGGAAAAGCCAGCAAATGCAACGCCATCGTCCATTCCATCTATCCAGTTCCCAAAGGGTGTCGTCAAGAAGACGTGGGTCTTTGGCTGTCCCAGGAAGGGAGACGATATCAAGATCGAGGAAGTCTTTCAGCGGTCTGATCTGGAGCTTGCCATTCTGAGCGCCTTCCAATGGGATATGGAGTGGCTGTTCTCGAAGCTGGACACGGCTAGAACCAGGTTTCTCTTGGTTATGCAGGCGAAGGAGGAATCTACGGTGAGTTGAAGAGAACTCTCCCCCCGACGGAATCTCGTCATTGTATCTGACGAGGCTTGCTATACTAGAAACGCCAATATGAGGCAGAGACAGCGCAGATGAGCAATCTTCGATTGTGCTTTCCACCCATGGATGGCCAGGTCAATTGCATGCACTCCAAACTCATGCTCCTCTTCCATCCCAACTATCTGAGGATCGTGATTCCAAGTGCCAATCTAGTGCCTTATGACTGGGGGGAAGCTGGTGGAGTTATGGAGAATGTAAGAGATACTCCCACTAAGTTGAGCCACGTCGCTAATTAATATCGATCAAGACTGTCTTTCTCATCGACCTGCCGAAGAAGCCTGAGCACAGCGCAGATGAAAAGCCAACGACTGCCTTTTACGAAGACCTCGTCTACTTTCTACGGGCAAGTACCCTACATGAGAATCTTATCTCAAAGCTTTCGAACTTCGATTTCAGCGAAACCGCCCGGTATGCTTTTGTTCACACAATGTAGGTTCTCTCCTCCCTATCACTTAGAAGAGTGTCTCTGACGTGACAAACAGTGGGGGATCGCACAGCGGCGATGCGTGGAGACGAACTGGCCACTGCGGCCTCGGAAGAGCCGTGACAACTTTGGGACTACGAACTCATAAGCCGATGAACATTGATTTTGTTGTAAGGTTGCTTGATCCGATATGCAATGCACAAACTAAGACAAGCAGACCTCTTCTGTCGGATCGTTGACCGATGAGTTTATGAGATCCATATATCTCGCATCCCAAGGTACGAAATAAAGTTTTAGCATTTGCTGAATATGCTGACACTTCCAGGCGACGATGGCTTGACGGAATTTACTCTGCGAACCTCCAAGACGTTTCCAGCCAAGAGTCGAGCCGACCCCAAGGTCCTTGTCGAGAAGACCACCGGCGAGGAATGGAAGGATCGCTTCAGGGTTTATTTCCCGTCGGAACGAACGGTGAAGGAATCCAAAGGCGGTCCCATGAACGCTGGGACCATCTGCTTCCAATCGAAATGGTACGCAGGACCGAAATTCCCACGGCACGTTTTGCGCGACTGCATCAGTCGGCGGGATGGGCTCTTGATGCACAACAAGGTAGGCGCGTTAATCCTTGCCCTGTTATTGAATCTGCACGCTGACCATGATTCTTTTTTTTTTCTTAGATGCTCTTCGCACGACCTGAAATACCGATCCAGCTCCCTGATGGGTCTACCTGCGAGGCGTGGGCATACATCGGCAGCGCGAATCTATCCGAGAGTGCGTGGTATGTATACACTCGTTTTCTTTTTCCAGCTTTTTTAAGTAATTTCGATCTCATCGCTACACCTGAATTCCCAACCTGACTTGAACCTCTATACGCAGGGGCCGATTCGTCCAAGACCGCACGACGAAGGAACCAAAACTGAACTGCCGAAACTGGGAATGCGGTGTCCTGGTCCCAATCATTCGACCGGCACCATCAGCAGGAGAAGACAAAACTGGAGACAACGACGAAAGGAAGAAGAAAGCAGACATGCACATCGACATCGCAGACGTCTTTGGCGACACGGTTCCCGTGCCCATGCATGTCCCTGCCCGTCCGTACGGGCCGGACTTGAAGCCGTGGTTTTACATGGAGGATTAATAATAAGTTAATCAATTAACTGATTAATTGATTAATTAATTAATCAAGTAATTAGACCTACTAGAGAGGGAGAGAGAGAGAACTGGATTGAAAAATGGGATAAAAAAAGGACATGCGAGAAGGTACCTATCTATCTGGTGATCTTTCTTCCAGGCAGACAAATAGAGTATCATATCGATCCAGTGAATGGCTTTCAACTTTTTCTCTATTATTCCTTTGTTTTATTCTCTTATTTAGGTTCTAACTCTAATAGATCTGTGTATGTGTGCATGATATATGTTAAAGGCCTCGAACAAAAAAAAAGAACAACACTGAGCTGCGAAACAGAATTCGCTATGCAATAATAAATAATTAATGCATCAATGGAAAACCGCCGGCGCCCGCTTAGAAATGTGCAAAAGCGTAAATGTGTATATATGTATGATAAATTATAAAATTTCTAGAGAAAAAGAAAAGATAAGGGGGTAATAGATGAAGGAGAAACGCACTTTTGTGGATAGTAAGAGGTCTAGTCCATCGGAAAAGCGTCAAATAGAGAAATAGGTATATATATGTGTATATGTGTATATACATGATTAGGCCGTTTCAGCATAGATAACCTTCTCGGACTCCTTCTTCTTCCTTCTCGTCAGGCTGGTGGAAATGGCACGCTTGAACTTGTCAATCGCCTTTCCGGCAAAGCCGAAGATGTATCCCATGCCAAACTTCCAGCCGCGGATGCGCACCGTGTAGATGAAGAAGTACACGAGAAACCAGTTGATGATGACAAAGGCAAGGAAGATGCCGAAACAGCGCCACTTGTCGTTGTCGTGCACGTTCAGCGTGTGCATGTACTCCCTGCCGTCTCGGTACGCGCAGTAGCTGCAGTTCGACGTCGCGTTGGGGTTTGCCAGATAGCCGGCTCGAGCAATGTTGGCCACGAAGTTGCCAGCATACTCGCCGCAAGTCTGCCCCGGGGGCGGGTTGAAGTGTGTGGTCTCCTCAGGAGCACAGACAACTCTTGTCGAGGGAAGAATGCTTGAGAACACCCCACGAAGCCACCAAGTCATCGGGTTGACATAGTACATCCAATATTTCCAGAAGACAGGAAACGCATTGTATGGACGGACAATACCGTTGAAAAGGTTGACCATGACGAAGAAGAACGGAAGGACCTGTAGCCATGTTAGCCATCAAATCTCTATGCCGGAGCTCGTGAGTGCTTACATTGGAGATGACAGTGAAAGAAGGCGCAAAAGCGCAGATCCATTGACCCCAACTGGCTTGGAACAAGAAGAAGAGCATGGTCATCAGGAAAACGTAACCGGCAGAACTAGAGTCCGTTGGCAGACCAGTGGGATAGTACCACAAGAGCCAGTAGACGACACTCGTGACGATGGCCGCTGGAATTTCACAGACTACATTCGCCGTACAAAACGCAACCCATCCATAGATTCGACTGGGGTATTCGCGAGCCTCCCACAGCGCACGATTCATGTAGAACTTCGGGACGATACTGTTTATCACGGTCGGAGGAATCATGATAATCAAGAAGGCCGAGAACATCCGGTCCTGCATGTTGGAGATAGTCTCACCAAGTTGCCAGAAAGTAAATCCGTTGAAGATGCCAATTATCACACTCACAAACAACTTTCCGTAGTAGTAGGAGGGGTCCCTCCAGTACTGCAGGAAAAGTCGCTTGGTGAGCAGGGCGATTTGCGTAGTGACAGGTGCCGCGAATTCATATTGCTTGCCAACCTCGGGAGGTGGAATCTTGCTGCGCTCCTCCACGATGCGTTGGATCTCTTGCAAGATCTGCCGGTTCTGCTCTGAATTCCGCCATTCCTCGTTCCAGTCAATCTGCTTCCCCTTTCTGATAACGGGCTTAGCTGCGGTTTCAAGAATGAATTCCGCGACGTTTTTCGATGGAGGGCACACCACCCCCCGCTCAGCAAAATACTTGATCACGTCACGTCCATCTTCGCCGACAGGTCCAAAATAGAACGTGTTGCCGCCAGGGTTCAGGGCCAAGATCATGTCAAACTGTTGAATCAGCATCGACGAGGGCTGATGAATCGTGCACACAATGGCCTGGCCGGCTTGAGCCAGCTTCCGGAGAAATCGTACAATTGAGAAGGCCGCCTGGCTGTCGAGGCCACTGGTCGGTTCATCAAGGAACAGCAGCAGATTAGGCTTGGCAGCTAGCTCAACTCCGATCGTCACGCGCTTCTTCTGTTCAACTCCGAGGGAGTTGATGATGGCGTCTTGGATATCTTCAAGCTCCAGCAAGTTAATGATTCGGTTGACATAGTCAATTTTTTCTTGTCGGGGAATATTCCTATCTTGCCGAAGCAAGGCAGAAAATTCGAATGCCTCGCGGATCGTGGCAGTCCCGTCATGCAGGTCCATCTGTTCACAGAAGCCCGTTCCTCTCTGGAAATCAGGGCCTAGAGGTTTCCCATCGACGAGCATATCTCCAGTCACAATACCCGTCTTCTGGCGCTGAGCCAAAGTGTTGAGAAGCGTGGTCTTTCCTGCTCCCGATGCGCCCATCAGAGCAATCATGATTCCAGGTTTAGCGTAACCACTGACTCCATTGAGCAGTTTTCTCTGCCCATTGCCATAGGGAACCGTGTATTCAACATTGGACCAGGTGAATATTCGGTCACTGGTAGTGAGACTGTTCAATGCTGCATCGTTTCCAGAAGAAGTGCTTCCAGAAACATTGGCCTCTACCTGCTTTGCCTCTTCATCATCATGCTTCTTGCTTTGTTCTTTAGCAAGATTTTTCGTCCGCCGGGATTTCTTGAAGACTAATGCACCACCTCCGCCTCTGACAAAGGAGAGAGTCTCTGCCGCAATGACGGTGACGAGAATGTACAGAACAGTAAAGGCGATGACCACACCGAGATTCCGCCATAGATGGTGCCGTGTAAAATTGAACGTAGTTTGGAGATATGCCTCTCCAGACACGGTTTTACTACCAAGTTGCGATCCTGGCAAGGAACAACCCTGGTAGGCGGGATCGACACCTGGACCCTGAGGAACGAGCATTGATGGAGAACAGTCCATATCACGGTTGGAGAATTCGTTTGCGAGGACAGCTTCATAGGAATATGAGATAGGGTTGACGTAGATCAGCCAGCCAAACCAGATGGAATCGCGGATCAGAGTAGACTTGGGGATAACCTAGAACACGGTTAGATTAATTCAGACAAGCAAGATGGATCGCAGCACTTACGTATCCCACAAAGATGACCAGTATGTTCAGAGCTTGCTTCGCGTTAGTGTCATTCATCACGAATCTCGTTTTGGGTTTTGGAGCTCACCAATTCCACCGAATCGAACTGCATCGTCTATCGTCGGAGAAAGTGCTGCGAACATCCGGTACATTGCTGTGATGCAGATCGTAGTCGTATACACGAATAGCGCATAGATGAAAAATTTGGATACGTCCACATCTAATCCCGATAGGAAATATACGATGATTGTGAAAATCACGCACATGGTGAATATAAAGGGAAAGTCGACAACAACCCGGGCGATCGAGACTGCGGAAGGCCGATAAAAGGCGTAGTTTTTGTGTCGTTGGATAATCACTCTCCCCGACACCGCAGGCATCAATTCTGTCAACTGCAGCCAGCCAAGAAACAGGACCGAGAAGAAGAGAGTACCACCCCTTGAGAACGCGCCACTGGTATCCAGTGACTGGCCGTAGAACATGGAGCTCACAATCAGAGCGTTCGAGATGATGATAAAGAATTTGGTGTACAGAGAAGTCTTGTCTCCCCACAGAAGCCAGAATTGTCTCTTGACACATGCTGCGACCTGTCGTGGAAAGGAGACCGTGTACGGGGACTTCTTTGATACAGTTTTACTCTTGGCTGTTTATTGATTAGCAGACAGATACAGAGAGGGTTTTAAGAGAAAAAGGGTTGGGAAATAATCGGAACATACATTGACCCACGGATTGCTGGAATCGACGGGTATCTTCCTTTTCCGTGTCATTCAACCACTTCTCATACTCCGCAATATCGTTCAAGACACGTTGGTAGGCGTCACTCTGCCGGAATACCGCTTCGAGCTCTTCAGCGGTCTTTGGAGTGGACGCTTCACGACCAGGCTGGAATTGGCGCGCATTGGGATCGCAAAGGGAGGTAAGGAAATCAGCGGTTGTCCTAGTGGTGAGTTAGCAATATTCATGTTTAGATCTAGGCGTGGGAGATCGTACGATTGCGGAGGACAGTGGAAGCCAAGATCTATAAAGTACTGTTTGGCCTCACTTGCTGGTCCTTGGTAGAGCATCCGTCCCTCATCGATAACCAGAACCTTGTCCATAAGCTCATATATTCCCTCTCCAGCCTGGTATAACGTGACAAAGGTCGTTCGCCGGCTCACGTCCGTCATAATCCGCAGGGACTTGGCATAATCCAGAGCGGTGCTCGCATCCAAACCTCTGGTCGAGTTGTCCCAGCAGACCACGGTCGACTTCGTAGCCAACGTTTCGGCGATACTGACACGCTTTCTCTCACCGCCAGAGACACCCCGCACATACTCATTGCCGACAAGAGTGTTCCTGGTATGGCTGATGCCGAACATTTTCATCAGGGCCTCGATAATGATGGGTATGGTCGAGCGATCATTCTTCTTGGTCTTATTCATCAGAGAAAACTTGAGCGTCTGCCAAACCGTGAGGCTTGCAAAATGCTGATCATCTTCAGGGTTGTAGTTGACTTCTCCTCGAAAGTGCTTGTTCTGCTCTTCTGCCGGAATCCCGCCGTAGCTGACTTCGCCCAAAACAGCCGCATAGTCGGCGCGGTCATTTGCAATGGCTTTCAAAAAGGAGGTACATCCCGCTCCGGGCCGGCCTAGGACCATCATCATCTCTCCAGGTCGAACAACACCACTGAAATCACGGACCAAATCCCTCGTGGGAGGGGGTTTCCCAAAGCGGACCGCCGGGAAGAAATACTGTATTATACGGTAAAGGTCTGGTCCAAAAGTGCCAATAATTGCATCAGGCAGCGTCTTAACGAAAGATGCAGAGGACTGCACCCCTTTGACTGTCAGGTTCTTAAACACAACGCCGACCTTCTTGGCCGAATCTCCTGTCGTTGTCCTCCGTTCCAAAGTCCCGCTTAGCAAGAATTCACTGAGGTCGAAAGTTCCCGCAGCGAGGTCCGATCCTTCTACGGATGACTCGGCATCCATCACGTACTCCTCATCTTTCATGTCTCCCCTCTGACTATGGGATGTACGCAAGCGACTAGCCGGTTGAAACCGTCGGGAGGTGATGGAGCGGGATCTCTGAAGGCTGAGCCGGGTCAGTTCCCTGCGCATTTCCTCATAGTCTTCCATGGCTCCATGTCGAGAAACCGGTTCGCCTTCTCGCTCACCCCAGCGGCCCTCGATACTGGTCTGCGACGGGCTCCCCAGCGTGGATGCCGCCATGGACTCTGTTTCCGCAGGAGGCTCTGGTTGTTGAGTCTCTCTCTCCGCCCGCCCTTCTTCGGAGCTACTTTCGCGGTGCATCTTTTCGACAATCCCCGGAGTTGCCGCCATTTTGTCCAATGCTGCAGAGCTATCTCGCTGTGTGGTTCCTTTCTTTCAATGGAGCTTACGCGGACAGAAATTGAGTTGTTTCTGTTGCAATGCTGCTGTCAGATTGGAATGGTGGGAGTCACACGACTTGGGCAATCGGAGATCTGGAGCGCGTAATAGCAGCCCCAAAGAAGGGGCAGCAGGGAACTGAAGAAGAGCGCAGGTCGCAGTCAATGGGAGACAGGATGGCAGGCAAGAGAGAGAAGGGAAAAGGAGGAGAAAAAGGAAGCCCGACAAAAGTCGAGCATCCATGATGGCGGAGCCAAATAGATGAAGGCCTGGAACTAGGCGAGCTAGACCACCTCCACATAATGTCGGTCATAACGTTATGTAGCGTCATGTAAACTCCGAATTGGATTTGTCAGATCGCTAGGGTTAGCGTGCTGATGGCATCTCATCGACGTCAGGAATCAAGCGCCGTGGAAAGCTCGGTGGAGTCTGGCGGGGAGCTTGGGAACGGTCCAGTGGCACTGTCGACAGCGCTCCGAAACGCAGCACTCCGCAGGCGGTGAGTCGACCACATGGGCGTACGAGTCGTAAAATTCGTAATTATTATTAATATCATATCATTCACAGCAGAGCTTTTGGTCGTGACTCTTGAGGACCCCTTGGAAGTTGGCACGAGGTGACGAAAGTGGAGCCACGTGCAGCCCGTGGCGGCGCGGATGCCGGAGTTAGATGGCGATCCCGTCGGCGTTGAGCCGCGCTTGCCCTAAGCGAGACTCAGAGATGCCCAACTCGGCATTACTTAATCGTAATATCTGTTGTTCGTTTTGCTTCTGTTGTTTTCCTTCTCCACTACTCCTGGATCAGAGGGATGAAAAATCCTCCAAAAAAAACGGCCCAAGCACCGGAGATAACTATCTAAAAGCCGCACGGCCAGACTAACCTAGTTTCCAATTGCCGTCGTAGATTCATATAAAGGAGAATATGCAAGTTGATTACGGGCCCCGCTCCTCTGCAATTTGACTCGTACGCACGGAGCAGAAATGTAGAGATAGCAGAGAATACCCATGTCCTCGCATCTGCAAGGCCATGCATGGCCAGCTTGATGTGATGACCAATGCCTCTTTGATCAGCTTATCAATGTCCCGACAAACGATCCGAATGTGCTTGCGAGAACGTTGGGAGAAGCGATTTAAATGTGGAATTCGGCCCCTTCCTTTTTTTTTCTTTTCTTTTGCTCTTCTTCCTGTGACTCGCTCCTTCCTGCGGCAGTCAAGAACTGCTGTGTTCGGAAGGTGTGGTTAAGGAGCCGGACCGCTCATTGGACAGTCCGCTGCCAGGCCATGTGGGTCGAAATTGGATATTTTCCCGAACGGCAACCCGACCGCCGGGCCCGTTGTTTAACCAGAAAAAAAAAGCAGTTTATATACTCTGATTGCTGCATCTCTCTCATTTCTCTGCAGATTAATGAACGAGTATGTGTGTCTGTGACTGCTCAGAGAGCCATGCGTCTGCTGATGCAAGCTGCAGGGACAACTGGTAATGGCATGGTGGGGTTATGCTGTTGAGCATTTGTAAGCAGAGTCATAATGATGTTAGCTAGTAGCCTAGTTCCTGTTTATGGCGAACGGTTGGAGAAGCCACAGACGGCCCACTCCGAGATCAATCCACGTTCCCAATAAATCGGTGCTATTAGTAATCAAGTCGATACAGCCTGCATAATGCATCTGAGAGAGCAGTTAGCAAAACAGAAGATTCAGTTTTTTTTTCCTTCACGAAGAATTTCGAATAAATGACATTTCACCAGAAGGATCTTCTAATAAGCTGAAAATTTTAGGCCCGCTTTGGCCGGGTAGATTTCCGAGCGGAAGTTACTTTCCTATTTGGTCCAGACGCTGGCCAGCCAATGAGAGCAGTCCGTCACAACCCCTTAAGCTCACCGATTCTTTGCGAAGAGATAGGGCAGTGGTATAGTAACATGCCACTACTGCAGCTTAATCACACGGATTTGCCCTTTGACAGCGCCGCATGTGTCTAGACACTGCTCAGACTACTCTAGAATTCGCTGATCACCTCTACTGAATCAGGTTTCTTCGAAACGACATCAAATTATGAGAAACTGAGAGAAGAGGAATGGAAAAAGAACGACCATGTTGCCATCCAGATAAGTCTGCAATTTCATACTTGCCAACCCTAGAATCCTTCAGTTCCCAAACTGCATGATTCTGGGATATATTCCGTACAATGTATATTACAGTATGAGGCAATTTTCCAGAAAAACATCTGCGGATGCTTAAGAAGACACTGATCGACATGATTGATAAGATAAAGACAAGATAATGGAAGGTAAAGTCAGAACTAGAGTTAATACTACAGATTACTATAGGTACGGGGAAGACTGGACGATGCAGAGCAAACAGACATAACTCGGACTGACGAACTTTTCTTCCTGCTGAATTCACGGCCGACTTCCCCCCCCCCCCCCCCCCCCCCGCCACTTTCCTCTCTCTATCTCCCTTTGTTGAGCTCATCAAGAAAAAGCAGGTCGACTCGCTACCCCAGACTCTCTCTGGTCGTCGGGGTCTCCGCAGCGGCGCAGACTATCATCTGTTCAAGAGCTATATTATACTATATTATAGAGGCTAAGAACGAACCGGTCCTCCACCTGTCATCCGCTAAGAGATCGATCTCGAGGCGTCTTACCGCCATTTCCAAGTTGAACCAACCCTTACAAAGAATTCCATACTCCCTGGCGGCGGCCAGCGCCAACACCAACGCCGTCCTGCGGAACGAAAGGAACTGCTGTCAACGGCACACCGGGCCGCCGTCGATCTGGAAAGATGTGGGGATTATTATCATCCTTACTATGTTTGGTGGTCCGGTAGAGATGATCACGGTTTGGACCATTTTCCTAAGACAAGGTTGCAGATCCTTTATCGGAAGATAGATGATAATGGTCAAGATATCATACCTGCAGGGGGAGTAAATGAGCAAAATCATTGGAAATATGGTAACCTGCATAATAACCTAAGTTGAATCCAATTGAGAATTCATAAAAGATGGCATAGGCCCAAAATCGGGGAGATAATCAAGGGACTAGTATCAGACTACAAGCTTAGTGGTTTGAAGGAACACTATCTTGTCTACGGAGTATATCCGGCACATACTAAATCCTAGTCACATTCTATATAGAACCACAGTTATAGACTAGCAGCCATCATATCCATGTGACGTTCTCCTTCACCATAGAACCGTCTGGTTGGGGAGGACGAGGCTCTGACGAAGCAATTTAGTGCCGGTCGTTCCTCCTGGATTGCTTCAAGGTTGTATGAACCTATACCACTTACGTAGTCATGTAGATTCCTACCAGCTCAACTCCAACATTTACTTCCATTCTCTCTTACTCCACTACCCCGATGCAATTCACTATAGTACTGTAGGCTTGAAGTGCCACGGTTACTTCAAAACATCATATATCGGTCCAACTGACAGGTTGGCAAAATAATGAACTTCCCGACTGCACCCACGCAAGTACAGGACGCTCGATATTTACGTCGACTGAGTGAAGTTTGAAAATGACACAGCAGTTGAGTTCTCTCAATTAAATATCCGGAACCCAAATATAGATATCTACAGAGGAAACCTTATCTCGGGCACACGTTCTATCAAACCTGACCATTTTATTTCCTAGTTCTGGATATTGATTCCTTGGGCCCAACCATGCACGCTTGTTCCCAGTCACACTGATGGAGGAATTGAACGGCTGAATACTAGCCTCCAATGGACACGAGCACGTCTATGGGCCCTTACGAGAGGATCCCTTAGAGCTCCAACAGGCACTTCCTCCCAATGGGAGTACCTTCGGAGCCATTAAGAATATTCTCTGAATCACCCTGCACTGTTGGTCATCAACCGATAGGATAGTCGTCGACCAACCTGAATACAATGTCTAAAATCTATAGGTTACTGCAGGCTTCGATACTTCGTGGGAAATCCTTGGTCCTTTGCTGAGGTAGATATTAGGGCTACTATACAGGTACTTTCAGAGGATATTAACCCTGAAATTGAATTGAGTCAGCTTCCTGACTATACGGTCATACCACACACTATTCTACCCTTAGAGGCCTGCTTTCATACAGATTTTCCACGCAATCTGCACTATACAGAGTCTTAATTAGGTATCCTCTTTAATTTAAGGCCAGTCACCGAACGCTGGTAATTGTCATTACCCTAGAGTCAGTTCTATGTAGCAGCAATCTTACCTGTGAAGTAACGAGACAAAGGAAAGAGAAGGAAGGATCCTTCTATAGACTAGGAAGTTCGCCTGGAAAGTAGACGACTTAATATCTATGTACTATCTAATATGAAAAATGGTAAACAAGAAAATATAAGTAGGGAGCCCATGTGAAAGAGGTAATAATTTGAACAAAACTATATATATAGTAGTAGATAAACTTGAGGGCCGTAGAAGACAGTAAAGGAATCGCTCCAAAAGGCCAACCTTGACGGATTTCTGAGAGAGACTGAACTGACTATCTGGACACGAGACGACTATGAAGAAAGTTCTTAAAAAGCCATCCCTTGGGGAGGAGGATCAGACCATGCTCACAGAAAGTGAGAGAGAGAGCAAGCAAACAGATTTACTACCGGTAACTGTTACTGTTGATGCAGACGAAGGAGACAATGAATCCTGACTAGAAACTGGAACTCCTAGAAAAGACATTTGAGAGTTTGAGTGATGGGAAGAACGATATGACAATACGGAGGGATCTAAATTCATTATTGAAATTTTCTGACCGCTTTACGGAGTTACTGTGTATGTATGTACGTAGTTCTAATAATTATTATCATCTCCAAGCTTGCCATCCATATTATTATTCCTCCTTACTAATACTATACAGAAGTGTATTTCTCATCCTAGGTAAGTATTAGTACATGTATTTATCATCTACTCTCTAAGAGTGCTTCCTACCCATTATAACTAATAAGTTAACTTGCTTTTTCTTTCTTCTCTTTTCCATTCTTTTGCGACAATTCTTGCCATAACTCTTTGCTAATATTATGTAGTAAAGCATAATTGCCTGATATTTGCGAATATGTAGTTTCTACATACCGAGCGGTTTACACTAAAACTTCCCTATTTCCATCATAATCGAAGAGTGGATTCAATATTGAATGCCGAGCCATTCACCACTTTAGTATCTTTTTATCCTATTCGACTATACGTATCTATGAGCTGATCAAAATCGGACTTCTGAGTTGTGACAAGGATGCACACTCCTCTGGACAGAGTAATAACAATATCCTTCTCTCAGCTCCTACCAGCGGAATAATAACGGCATAGATTAGAATAAAATACCATGGAGCAAGTCGATCAGTCTGATTTGTCGTTCCTTTTCATTGAACGAGTTCTGCAGGGGAGGCTATCTCTACTTTCATACTAACTAAAGCCTAAGCATCGACATCATTCGACTCGAGGATGAAAAAGGAGGAGGCGAAAAGATCAAAAAATTCATACTCGAGGACGCCTCACAGTCTGGTTATGGATGCTTTCAGGACATTCGCATGACGTACTGAGTAATCTTGCAACAGAACATTATACACGGGTAAAAATAATAATAAGTCTCTAGTATATGTTATGTATATGTCTGTACACACATACATACGTGCAATATACAGTAACTACCTACATGCTATACAGCAGCAGATGTCATACAAACAATGTTTTGATTGAATTTGATTAAATGCGAGAGTTGGGTAGGAACCAAGAACTCATTGATTATTAATTAAGCAAGTCTAGCTTGCCTTGCTTTGTTGATATATATCGAGATTGCATACTTCCTGGATATATATATGACAGTAAACACATAGGCAGGGGGAGGCACATGCACAGCCAGGTAAAAGCCAGGCAAACAAGCCTTCTGATATATTAATATAATAAATACTCTTCTGGCATTGTTGCAGTCACCAGACCTGCTGTATGTATGTTCCTGTAAAGAAAGTACTGTACTAGCCTTCTCTACAGTGCTGTACGCTACGCAGTACTCAAACGAGTCGACTATCTTTGCAATTGGCGGGAGGATCTAAGCGAGAAGGAGAGCGGGTTTTTTTTCCCTTGAGCGACAGATCTCTCAAGTTAAAGAGTTTCGTTTTTTTGTTTTTGCTGGTCAAGAAAAGAAAGACTTTCTTTGTATCTTCAGAGATACCAGTGTGCTAGCAGCCCTTGATGTGAGGTCCTCTTCGACAAGACAAGACGAACCACACTAGCTGTTCTCTCTCCGTGGAAGAAAAAAATGTTGACCTCGAATTCAAAGACAAAAAAAAATCCTCATCACTGGGTTGATACACCTCGATCGATAGAGAAATGAGGCTCACAGCGAAGAAGGTAAGTAAGTAGCTTTTCTTTGAGAATGGTTGTGCATATCGTTCTCGAAGAGATACTTTTTTTTTGTACCACAATTCATACATGAAGACGAAAATGGAAGGGAAAAAAAAGAAAGAAGGAAGACTATCTATAGAATAAAGAATTTTACAAAGAAAGACTGGTTCAGTTCTGTCTCAGGAAGATGCTGACAATGCTCACTCTCGAAAATAGATAAAGGAATTAGTGATCATGAGCAGATATCAGTTGGATATACTCCCATCTGTAGACTACATATGCATACACTGTGGGCAATAATAAATTCAAGTTCGTGGATGAATATATATATACTCCTAATACTACTAATATACCGTGCTATGAAAGTATAGAATTCTCATAGACACTTTTTTTTAAAAAAAAAGAAAAGAAGGAAGATATATCGAAAGAGGAACCTGGAACCAGTTTCAGTTCAACACAGTCTGCTAGTTAATTCCTCTTACTCCATCATAGACAGCTAGAGTCTCTACCATAGACAAGGATCTATACGTTAGTTACTATAATACTACGAGCAAGGATCAATAGTAACGTAAATAAAATAAAACACAAAATAAAATAAAATAAAATAAAAGCACACTAATAATTACTATTACGATTGATTGATGAATCTGCCCACAATTGTCGACTGTCGACTCGACTCGACACTCGCTCGACAGATAGCATGATATAATGATGATGATAAAATAATGATGCTACCTACTCTACTCCATAAGTTCGTATAGTTGTGGATCAACAATGGTACATACTCCGTACAGTAAAGTACGAGTAAGTATGTACTTACTCCACACCGGATAAAAAGGCCTAACTAGGAAATACGAACGGATGTATACATCCACCTCCTGACTAATACCTAAACGCGCCTAGGTAGGTACATAGATAGGTGGATCACCTACTCCGTACTCTGTACATGGTCCATCAATCAACTTTCGTAGTGCTAATCATCTCTCGAGCACTGATAATAATAATAACACAGTTAACTGGTTTGAGATTTTTTTGTTTTCGATTCTCGGTTGATTATTATAATTACCTATTACTTATTACTTATGTGCAGGAACATATTAGTACGGAGTACTCCGTATACAGAGTAAATAAATCTGTACTTTAACTCCGTAGATAGTAATTCGTAAGTATTAGTAGTAGCCTGTTTCATCATCATTACGTTAGGCACCTAGGTACTCCGTAGATAGTTAGTAATTAGTAGTAGGGGTCAAGGGTCAAGGGTCCAGGGTCTAGGATCTACATACCTTACCTACCTGACTTAGTACTCCGTACGGAGAACGGAGTAATCCGTGCTCCGTACTCCGTCTACTCTAATGATAAAATAATAGGCTAGTAGGGCCGAAAAAAAAATGTCTCACAGCCAGGCTACAAATACCGGAATGGTAATAGTTGTAGTAATACCTATACCTAACTTACTATAGCCTTAGCCTGGGTGAGGCTGAAATCGCCAAGACCTAGTCTACCTAGTCAAGTACGTTAGTTAAGTCAACAGCCTAGACTAAACTAACCAACTAACTCGCAGCCAGAAAAGAAAAAAAGGAAGAAAGAAGAAAACACGACTGAAGTCGGAACGGTGGCGTCCTGTCCTCTGGAGGAAAGTTGTCCACGATATCCTTTTCTCGACTGGGTATGGAGTACAGAGTAGTAGAGGTCGGAGTACTCCGTACGTATCCACTATTTTTAGACTAATAATGGTTTTCTTATTGATTTAGCTAAGTAGTTAGAGCCTTAGACATTAAATAGTTAGTTCACTTATCGGGCGATCTCGCAACATATTACCCCGTAATAATAATGGATGATCATCCCGTGGATAATATTTGTGCCCAGTGTGCTATGTGCAGTGTACTCCGTACTCCGTACTGGATGGCCATGCACATTTTTATCACCTCGAAAGTTCAGATCCCTGCTGTGAATCTGTGATAACAGTTGCATGATGCCAAGTTAGGTATGAGGTGTCATATCAGATATCTATCACATTTTTTACATTAAAGTTGAAACTCTATCGAGAAAGACAAGAACGTTTCCAAAAACTTAAATGATGATATCCTGCTCCTCCATAACCCTACGAAGTAATGTATATCTATCTGCTGATGAAAATTTCCCGCAACTGAATCGAAGTGCAGGCACGGCGACTCTCCGACTCTCCGTAGCACGTACCTGATACACACAGACACACGACCCCCTGGTCCACCGTCCACCCGATAAGTCGGGCGCTCAGGCCCCTTCGAAGACGCCCGATTCTGTGGTCTTACCACCGTCGACGCGGCATCGAGTCATCATCATTGTCATTTATTCAAAAGGAAGCTCACCCGAAAAAAAAAATGGCCCGTTCATCTGCAAGCAGCAAACCCAAGTTTCAACAGGGGTAAAATGAACTAACTTCCAAGTCATCAAAGCGGCTACTCCTAGCCTTGTGGACTTTGAAGTCTTTTGCTAATTAGCTCATTAGCCTCCTGAAGAATCTGTTTAGCCTCGGTTATGGAATGGCACTACCGACGCACTCTGAGGCGACTAATATGGCACCAAAGCGACTCTCACTCAATCACCGTGCAGTGTGGGCACCATGCCTCCTCCACTCTGTTCGGTTTGGCATCAAAGTTGCCGCCTCGCTCGGATAAGCTACCCGAGGGGCTTGAGTATCCATCAAACTGAACGGGTCAGAATGGACTCAATGGAGTAGGGAGTACTCCGTACTTCGTATGGTCTAGGGACGCTGAATAATACAGCTGAATAATACAGAGTACGGAGAACGTCTGCTGTACCGCATTGTGCTGCTGTGCAGGGCGGGCAAAATAGAAAAGAAAAAAACCTGTGTCTATACTCCGTACGGAGTACTCCGTGCTCTGCACTTAGTTTGAAATGGAGAATTCTGCCTTTCCAGAACAGGGAAACCACAATCAACCCTGCGGCAATCATTGGACAAAAACTGCATATCATGTACTCCATGCTGCATGCACATCGTGGTCACCCCTTTCTTGATACTGTAGGTGCCGTCGTGCGATGACAAGATTCTCCGGTCGGCAGGATTGTTTATCCACGACTGGGAGAATGCTGCCCTCCGCCACTTTGCTGGCTAGTGCTGATGTCACGGCTTGGCTGTCGAAATGCCCCTGGCTAACGCGGTGAATGTGTAGAGACGAAATGTAGGACAACTCATTCACCGGAGTTCGTCGGGATTCCACCACACTTGGCCGAATTGGTAAAGCGATCAGTCGCGACATGTGTCTGGGCCTCTGGGGGCGAAAAAGAAAAATCCTTTGACGTGGGCTGGGCATTGCGCCTTGCAAGCTGAAGCCGGTCAGACTTGATACCCATGGTCGATTGTCGGACAGTCGGAGTATCATTTTGCAGGTGCTTGGACCCCTGGATAAACTCGGTTTGACAGCGGAGACGTTGAAAGTCGTCTGATATCTTCATTAGTCAAGTCGTCCACGATGAAATAACGACCTTGGAGAGTTTCTTGTTAGTAATCAGCTATATGATTTAAGCCTGATTCCATGTGCTGTCTAGGCAATGGTGAAGGGCACAGGATCAGTAGAGATTAAGATGACAGGATGATCATCTTGATGACTTGATCAGTACCGGCGCCATGGTCGTGGCGCGAATAGGTGTGCGATCTTGCTAGGAGATTGCTGACGGTCTCATCTACTCCATAAGCATGACCAGTCGAGTGCAGTGTTGGGGAACGCATGATTAGTGGATTCGTAGCAAGGCTGGCTCACTCATCAGCCTTCAGAAGGTGGCCATCCAAGTCTGAAGGGATCGACGATGACCTAGTCACAAGACTTTCCTCTTGAGCCATGGCGAAGACCGCCAAGTTCCTTCATTCCGGAACGATGATTTAGTCAGATCTAGCTGACGCAGTACCCATCAAGCTGGAAAGATCTCAACATGAAGGTACGGAGTACTCTGTACGGAGTAGGACGTGTTGCAAGGCGGAATTTCCTGTTTGGTACGATCTGACTTGGCGATGATTATCTCTAGTCGAGAGATAATCGATAGTGTCTGTCGTCGCTCAGCATCGCCGCGTAACCGAGTCCAGACAAGTTACGGAGTACTCCGTAGGAATCCTCCTATAACTTCTCCTTTGAAACGCTCTGATTTAGCCTGGAAATGATTGGCACACACGAACGACAGTCTACTCAATCGAGTGAGATTGACTCAGCCACAGTTCCGACGCGCATCAGGCGAACGAGGCCAGAAGCAAGAAGCAGGTTTCTAGCGCGCAGCACGGTCGTCTTAGGCACGGTGGTCTGCCCTCTTGGTTGGTAGCCCCGTGGGACGACTAGGACACTAGGGACGAGTCACGGCCGCAGACGTCTGTTAGCTTCTCGAGGACCTAGCGTGCTCCACCGCAAGCGTCACTCCATGACCGCCACAGGCGTCCCACTTGGATCAACTGGAAACGTGAACATTAGCCGGTTTTTTACGAAGGGGTTTCTGCTAACGCTTTTCGATAGCAAAGCCCAGATTGTGAGAGTAGCGTATGAAATACGGAGTGCAAACCCAGTAGTTATTTCCATGGCCTCGAGTTCCCTCACTCTCATTGATTCACCTCAACTTCGTAGACAGATTGTCACGGAAAAGATGTTGGCAGCCATCGAGCAGAATGTTTTCTGCATTGACAGCGGTGCCTGACTGCCTGCAGCGGCAGTTGCTGGCAAGAGCATGTGACCAGCCTCAGCGTCCAGTCCCGTCGTCGCTGTCTTTGGTACATTCAAAAGTCCTTTTTGCGATTTGCCCAGCATTATTGATCAACCCAGTACGGAGTACTCCGTACGTGTACAGTAAATTCTGAGCATTATCTTCCCCGGCGCATGTGGAAATATGGATTCGCCCCCCCCCCCCCCCTCCTTTCGTCA